TTTTTTTTTTTTTTTTTTTTTGTTTAATTAGAAATACCAAAAAAAGGTGAGTAGAGCTTTTTGAAATTTGCCATAAAATGATAAACTTTTAAGTGTTAACAAAAAAAAAAAAAAAAGTGATTAAAATGGAATGCCTGTCAAATTTTTTTTTTTCTGCTACTGATAAAAATTGCGGCGAAAAACTAAAGTTAAGTATAATTTGATTTTGGACATTTAGGACTCTCGGACTTGGCGTACTCAATCAGAATCCACTTCTTTTAGCTACGCTACGAAGAGAAAAAAAAGAAAACAGAACAAAACCCCTCATTTTATGCATTTCTATGGGAAAAAATTTTGGACTTTGGCTGTGTAAAAGAAAAAAATATAAACAAATATCAAAAAAAGTTAACGAAGAATAAAAGTTGTTACTTTTGATCGTTGATTCTTTAAGGAAGAGAAACATCTGTTATATTTCTTCAAAAAAAGAAAAAAATTAGCAATTTTGCTTTCTGTTTACCAACACTGTTATGAACTTTAATTTTTTTTTTTTTTTTATTACTTTTACTATAATTTTTTATTATCGATGTATTACCAAATTAATTTTCTTTTTTTTTTCCGATTAAAATTTTTGCATAAAATAATAAGAAAAAATGTTTCTTTTTTTTTTACCCAGCATTTTTCCAGTTTTAATTTTTTGCTTTTTCAAATCTCTAAAGCTAACTAAATTTCTGATTTTAACAACAAAATCAAGGCAGAAGTTTCAAATAACATTTGTTATACTGCAACTTTAAAGCACATGGAATAGCTCATGGAAAAAGTATAATTTGATGGAAGTTTCCTGCCACTTTTTTATGTTTTTCATTTCCTTTCAAAAATCTAATGGTGTACCCCAGTTTTTTCTGATTTTTTTTTTCTTCTCAACTTTCTATTCTCCTCTTCCAGTAAGTCGCAGTTGATTGATCTTCAATTATGTTGCTAATAATTGAAGAGCATTTGGATGAGGAAGTAGAAGGTAAAACAGTTATTTGGTGAACGTATGGGAAAAATGGAAAAGTGAAAGATTCATTTCAGTCGACCAATTTCCGCTTAATTCAAATATCTCATTAAATTAATATTTTAGCAAATTGAAATCCGTCTCTTTCTTATTATAGAAAAAAAAAACGTCGAAAAAAAGAAAGGTTTTTTTGCATAACAATGCTTAATCGACAGTAACTTATTTGCAGTTTAATTATTAATATATTTTTGCTGCATTATAATCGTTAATATAATTTTTTTTTTCAGTCTAAACTCTAGTTTCTAGTTTTTAAAGTAAAGCAAATTTGTATTGCAGCTTAAAGGATGGTTTGATAAGGAGTAAGTGGGAAGAAAAAAAAGAAAGAGCTAAATAAACAGAGAAAAAAAAAACTTGCTTTATTGTATCAATTTTTTTTGCTTTTGCTTTGCATTTTTATTGCAAAATATAAAGATTTCAACTGATTTTTGTTTCAATTTTTGATATATTCCAACAACTGTCATTATCGCTATTGTTGTTGTTGTTGTTTCTGGAATCAGCACTACTAACAACTGAAACAGAATCAGCAGTGACTAACAGTACTGACAGTGTGCCATCATATGATAGGTACAAGAAGTAGTTTTACTTACTGCTTAAAAATTTTTTTATCTATATTTTCTTGAAAAAAAAGAATGCTTTTTTTTTTGAAATATAAAAAAAGGCAGCAATATTACAGTTAATGATGATCTTTGACAAAAAAATAAACGCTATCTTTTTACAATTAAGACAGTTTTTGTTTTGCTTACAAAAAAAAAAAGAAAAAAATTTAGCTTTATCAAGACATTATCTGTGGTATTACACCTTTTATTTTTATATGATTGTAAAAAAAAAAAAAA